CCGCAACCCCTGATGATGAACAGGGTCCAGCATTTTGAGAACCGATGTCCGGGCAGAACCATACACAATACAACCGTAATCAAGACGGGATCGAACGACCGACCGATAGATACGCAAGAGACAAAGACGGTCAGCACCCCAGGACACATGCGACAGGACCTTAAGTATATTAAGCGATTTAAAACATTTCATCTTCAGGCTCTTGACATGCGGAACAAAAGTCAATTTGGAATCAAATATAAGACCTAAAAACTTGTGTTCAGTTTTCACTGGGATAGGAACATCATACATAGTCAAAGAAGGTTCGTGCAAAACTCCGCGGCGACGTGAGAAACTCACACAGACGGTCTTCTCAGGAGAAAATTTAAAACCGTTGACATCAGCCCATTTGACCAAGTTGTTGATTGTGAGCTGGAGCCGACGTTCACATATGGATGGATTACAAGACGATACAGAAATCTGCAGATCATCGACGTACAGTGAGTAATGAACAGATGGAGCTATTGCGCGGACAATCGAGTTCATCTTCACAATAAAAAGAGTGACGCTAAGTACACCACCTTGAGGTACTCCATTTTGCTGCGAAAATTCTCTAGAAAAAGTTGTCCCAAGCTTCACGCGAAAAGTCCGGTTTTGAAGATAACTCTGAATGCCACTTAACATTCGGCCCTGTACACCTAAGCTGAACAGATCCTGCAGTATGCCATGGCGCCAGGTTGTATCAAATGCCTTTTCCAGGTCAAAAAAGACAGAGACACAATGCTGCTTATTTACAAATGCCTCTCGCACAACAGTCTCAAAACGAACTAGGTGGTCGACCGTGGATCGTCCTGAACGAAAGCCACATTGGTACCTGTCAAGAAGATTATTACTCTCCAAATAAAACATCAGCCTTCTGTTGATCATCCTTTCTAATGTCTTCGAAAGACAGCTAGTTAGTGCTATAAGCCTGAAGCTGGAGGCACAGGCAGGATCTTTTCCTGGCTTTAAAAGGGGGATAATAACGGCAGCCTTCCAGGACAATGGGAAAAGACCCTCGACCCAAACTCGGTTGAAAAGATACAAGATGAGCTTTAGAGTAGATGGATGAAGGTGCTGAAGCATTTGATAGTGGATACCGTCCGGTCCAGGGGCAGTCTGTCCGGACGAATCGAGAGCCATCTGCAGTTCGTGCAGCATGAAAAGAGAGTTATAAGGCTCTTGCAAACCACCGGTCGTAGGCACAATCTTTTTTTCTGCATGTAGCTTATGCCGCCTAAATGATTGCGTATAGTGTTCGGAACTAGAAACAAATTCGAAGTGCTCACCAAGAATGTCAGCCTGTTCGTCAAGGCTTGCAGGACATATTCCATTCCGGCACAAGAGTGGGACAGAGAAAGCGCCGTAGGAACCCTGAATTTTATGCACGCGGTCCCAAACTTCCTTTATAGATGCACTGCTATTGATTGAAGAGGCATATCCTCTAAAGCTTTGCCGCTTGGCTCGTCTTCGAATAAACCTTGCCTGGGCCCTTTTTCTTTTAAAACCAATCAGATTACTTGAAGTAGGGTAACGCCTAAAGATACCCCATGCACGATTCTGTTCCTTTTTTGCCTGGCGGCAGTCTTTATTCCACCACGCCTTCGGCCTTTTTGGGAGATGCGAGGACGTCATGGGAATGGCGATGATTGCGGCCTGTAATATGTGTCGAGTGATATGCAGAGTGACATCATCGATCGAAAGATCATCAAGTGATGAACAAGCTAAAACTGAAGAGCTGCTAAAAGTTGCCCAGTCAGCCCTCTCAAACTTCCAACGAGGGGTACGCGTTTGAAGACCAGCAGGAGGACTGTTAAACTCTAAAATAATTGGAAAATGGTCACTTCCATATGGGTTTGGGATGACCCTCCATGAAAACAGCGAGTATAGTGAAGGATGGCAGATAGAAAGGTCGATGGAAGTAAAAGTCCTGGTTGCTGAACTAAAGTGTGTGGCTTCTTTAGTGTTAAGTAAGCACAGTCCCGTGGAAAGAAGAAAACGTTCAACAAGTGCTCCTCTAGCATCCCGTTTACCACTCCCCCACAATGGGTTGTGTGCATTAAAATCGCCTAAAATTAAGTATGGAGCCGGGAGCTGACTAACAAGATCCTCTAGCTCTTCGTACTGCAGCTGGTATCCCGGTGATATGTACACTGAACAAACAGTAATCACCCGGTCTAGCAGTATTCGGGCAGCCACAGCCTCGAGAGTGGTGTAGAGAGCCACTTCGGCAGATGGGGTTGTGCGCTGGGCAACTACAGCAACACCACCAGACGCCACAGAGGAGTGCAACCTATCTTGTCTAAACACTTGATAATGGCGGAGTACATTTGACCTAGTTTCTTTAAGATGCGTCTCCTGCAGACAGAAGGCAGCAGGGCGGTGTTCGTCTAATAAAAAAGTGACATCATCATAATTACAAAAAAGCCCACGACAGTTCCACTGTAAAAACAGAGACATGGTGAAGATTAAAACTGGAAATTAAAATTAAAATTATAACTGGCCTTTAGGACACCGCAAGATAACTAAGTGGACACTTGCTTATGATTCATTTCTAAAGGGACTACGATCCCTTTGGGGGCAAAATTCTAGGAAGTTTATTTTTCTTTTTCTTTTCTACGACCTGAAAAGGTACTGATGACTCAGCACCTGAAGGGACCAGGTCGTCGTCAGAGGGTGGCATGCTCTCATCCATCATTTCATCTACTGACTGCTGGCTTGCGGTCGAGTATGCCTCGTCCAGCTGGCCAGGCTTTCGAGAGCTGGTCGAGGCGGGAGTGGGCAAAGCCCTGCCTCGGCCTGAAGAGCGAGCAGACGACGAGGGTGTCCGCTCCAGCTCCTTAGAGGAGGTGGTCTGCGACGGACCCTCTTTAAGGACTGAGGGTGGTGCGAGAGGCACCACCCCTGATGCCTTTGGAGGGGATACCTCCTTTGGTGCCATGGTGTCCATTGCCTCCTTTAAGAGAGGCGCGGCAGCACCATTCAGGCACCGTGAACCTTTTGGCTCCAACGACAAACGTGGTCGTGGAGCCGACCTTGGGGGGGCAGGGGGTGTCGGCGGGGCTGCCAGGTCTTTGGGACAGACCTGGGTTCCCACCGAGGTTTTCGGTGACACGCCCCCTGTGCGTCTTACCGTAGCAAAGGATCCTTTCTGTAGAAAAGAAAGTCGCTTCCTGGCCTCAGGAAACGAGATGTTTTCTTTTACTTTGAGGGTAATTACTTCCTTCTCTTCTTTCCATTTTTTACAAGAACGGGAGTAAGCGGCGTGTGGTTCGCCGCAGTTGACGCAGTGTGGTGGGTTTGCGCAGTTGTCTGACGGGTGATCGTTCTGACCGCACTTGGCGCACGTGGTCTTGCCCCTGCAGCTCTGGGCACTATGGCCGAACCTCTGGCAATGGAAACATCTCCTGGGGTTCGGCACATATGGCCGTACTCTACAGTTCAAGTACCCAGCCTTGATTGACTCGGGAACTTTGCTCAACTCGAAAGTCAAAATAACATGTTTTGTTTTGATCTCTTGCCCCTCTCGACGAAGGGAGATTCGCTTTGCAGCGACAACTCCTTGGTCACTGAGGCCATTTACGAGTTCATCTTCTGTACTTTCGAGGAGGTCATCTTCAGAAATCGCACCTTTTACTGTGTTCAATGTACGGTGGGGAGTGACTGTCACTTTATAGTCAGAAACTGAATTTAGTGATAGGAGTGCTGTGCTCTGTTCACTGGTTTTAATTTCAACGAGCAGATCTCCGGATGTCATTTTTTTGGCAGAGAAGTTCTTTCCAACAATGGACTCAAGTGTTTTGGAAACAAGGAATGGTGACATTTTCGCCAAAGGTTTCTCACTCTCAGAGTGCATCACAAGGAATCTTGGAAATTTTTCTGCAGATCTAGTAGTATTAATCGCATGTACTTCGGTGCGGCCCCTTTTGGGGGGCCGATCAAGAAAGGTTTTTTGTTTAGTACCCATAGAGATGGGAGAGAATTTCGATGCCCCGGGTGCACCACCCACCACGGAGCCCAACACGGGGGTAGGCAATGTGCCATAACAAATATGGCTTTGCTGACAACATTACACTACCAGTGCTGCCCAGGCACTATAACCTAGTGTGGATCCGGACAAGGGGTCTATCGCCACCCAAGGTTAGCCCTTGCCGCCAAAGAAGGTGAAAAGGAATAAAAGAAGAGCAGAGAAAAGAGAAAGATAAGAGGGGATAGTAGAAGATGTGGCGACTGACTGAATCATCCTGGTCGGGCCAAGCCAGGACACCCGTCTATAGGAAGCAGGGGCCAAAGTGGTGTGTTGCCTCGCCCGGGGGGCCCCGAAGGGTCCAAACCTACCCCGGGCTCAGCTCAACCACCAGGATGCCCTTTTCCCTGGACACGGGCTCGCCACGCACAGCCAGACTTGGGTGGGTCTTAGCCACTTTTACTCAGGGTCTGTGGTGTCGCCAAAGTGGCTGGGGTCCGTGGTGACGCTACTCACCAAGCACCTAGCACCTAAGGTGCAGGCGCCCCCTGCGGAGCTCGGGGTCCGTGGAGACGCCACTCTCCAAACACCTGCTTTCACAGGTGCCCCCTGCGGGGGCTTCGAATTCGATTCGAACTCAAAATCCACCATTCGCACAAGACTAGCTCTAACACAAATTGCTCCCCAGTGAACCAAGGGTCGTTGCGAACTCACCCAAGCACAAGGCAAACATAGGAGAATCAAAACTATCTCTCTTCCCCCAAGTCTCTCTCTCTCTGTCATGACGGTCAGAAGTGGCACAAACACCCTGTATACAATGCGCAACGCCGGTGTTTTTTTATCAAGTACAAAATAAAGCTAGGCCTCCCCCTTGCAAGTGATGTTTTCCTCCTTCATTGCGTATATTAAAGCGTCTGCAGCAATCAACCACCGACGTCTTTGCCCTGTTGTTCTGAAGCGACCGCAATGCGACTTGGAAAGGGGTGACCAAAGAGAGCAGCAGAGAGGGGTTCACCAGGAGTTGGGGAGGTTGGAGGTGCCAGGAGTATCCTGGGGCAGCAGTGGCGTGCCAGCACGTGGCCGAGGCTCAGCTTCATCTGCAGGGCGACACCCTCCAGCCGCCTGGGCGCCACCTCCTCTTGCAGCACCAGGCGGGTCAGGAGTGCCGAGGGGCTCTGGCTCAGCACCCACAGGTGGCTTTCCTCCAGGTGGCGCCCCACTGCGGGAGACGTTTACTCTAGTTCAAATTCTCATTCACTCCATCATGCAGGCAAAGACGAGAGAGTAGAGAATTTGTCAAACACAGGTGCATGGGACCCATTTCGCAGAGGCACAATAGCACAAAACGCACGAGTGCAGTTTGTTTTTTCATTCAACACCACAGGTGTTAGCCAGAGCGAGACACAAGCGTGCCACACGGGCGCCACCTTGTATGGCTCTTGCGGGACGTCAATGAGGCAAGTGGTCACATGGTACGTCGTCACACCGCACTCGCTGGCACATGTTACTGGGAGCCCAGTCCTTCCAGAACAGTTGCGTTACACAGCTCAGCGGCCATTGAAATCAAGTGAAAAGACAGTGGCGTCATGGTGCAGCTTTTAGCAGAAGCAACTCCCATAGACATCACTTGTATTAGCTGACCTTACCGTAAAGTTCCGAAAGAATGCCCACCCAAAGTGAAGAGATAAATGGTGAAAAACATAGAATGGGCTGTTTTTGGGAATGCCATAGCAAAGCCTTATCAAAAATTAATGAGAAACACCAGGGCACCCCCTACAAACCACGTGACGTCGGAACTGATACTACAGATCACAAACACTGCAAATTCGCATTTCACGAAGCGATAAACATGCGGGAATTCTTTACAAACTCCTGTGTCATGGAAAAGGATACTGCAGGTTGCGGATGCAACAGATTTGCATTGTACCATGCGAAAGACCAGCAGAAACCCGCCAAGAAATTGCATCTCACGGGAACGAATACCGCAAATCGTGGTCACAGCAGATTCAAGTTCTATGGTGCACCAAACACGCGGGAGCCCGCTACAAACTTGACTGTCACGGGAACTGATATTGCGCATGCAGATCGCGGACAAAAACATCTGAACCCATTACAAACTCACCCGTCACACGAACCAGTGTCACAAATTGCGCGGTTGATGTCGTTCCTGTCAGACATCGTGTGATGTTTGGCGGGAAACAGGAAATCGGCAATGTCGAAATCCCAAGAAAATACGACGACATCGTCAAGGCAGACAAGGCAGCTCTGCCATTTCAGACCTGCCAGCACGGCGTCCACAACACGCTGGAATATGGCTGGTGCTGTATAAAGTCCGAATGGCATTACTTTGAACTCATATGGTCTGTCGGGAGTGACGAAGGCACTTTTCTCGCAGTCGTGTTTGTCGACTTCAAACTGCAAGTAGCCACTCTTCAGGTCCATCGGTCTAACGTATCATCAATGCTGGGAAGCATATAGACGCCTTTCTTAGTCACAGCGTTCAGTCGACGATAGTTCACACAGAACTTCAGGGTTCCGTCCTTTACAAGGACAACTGGGGTGCCCACGGACTTCTTGAGGGTTCAATAATGTTGTCGTCGAGCATTTCCTAAGCTTGCTCTTGAATCACCTTCCTTTCCTTTCAGGAGACTTGGTACAGTGACTGGTAGACAGGGAGCGCGTCGTCATCAGTAATGCTATGGTGCTTCGCTACTGTTGTTTCTTGCACCCTTGATGTTGTGGCAAAACACTCACCAAATTCACTCAGGTCAGGCAGCTGTCCTTGTTCAGCAGCTGGAAGCTTCGGAGCGATGTCAAGTTCCAAGGGCAGCATTCTCTGTGCTGTGATGATGTCGGCTCTTCCGAAAGTGCAGCGATTGTGGCTGAGTTCTGAAGTTCGTCGATGTGCCTCACAGCGATACCTTTCATAAGGTGCTGTGGTTCTTCTTGAAAATTTGTAACAGGGACCATGGCACACCCGTCTTGAAGTTCTGTTACTCCTCATACGACACAGATTCCTCTTTCTAGAAGCAACAGGAGGCTTCCCTCGAGCAGAACTTTGCCACAGGAAGCTTCAAAAAGCTTCATCAATCCTGACGGGTACGAAAACACTCGACCGCGGCCGTAAGTTCACATGGTTTGCAAGGACTCGGATTGCAGATGATGTTTGCTTTGGGTTCCTCCGGTGCTGGGACAGGTTTTCGTAGTGTCAGCCAGTTTGCTCCGAGGTCGATGACGGCACCATACTTGCAGAGAAAGTCCATTCCGAGGATAACGTCCCTCGCACGGTCTTGCAAAACAATGAACTTCACAGGTCACGTCTCACCATGGATCTCGACGAGAGCAGTACATCTCCCCACTGGTGTGATCAGGTGCCCACCGGCGGTTCGTATTTGAAGGCCTTTCCACGGCATTATCACTTTCCAGAGACAGCGTGAAAGCCTCCCACTCAAGACCGAGTAGTCTGCTCCGGTGTCCATGAGAGCTGACGCATTGCGGCCATCGATGGTCACATTGAGACTGTTGGGCACCGTTGCAAAAGCGTCGCTCCGATGCATGTCGTCGGTCGAGTGGGGGGCATCCAGTGTTCTTCGAAACACTTTACGTCGTCAGTTTACGACAACTCCACCTCCAGGAGTTGCCGCACCAATTTTTCCTGGCGCCACAAGGGCGACACACTCTCACGAAGGGGTCGGTGCATCGGCGAAGTTGGACGACTTGGCGACGACAACCGGGACCCGCGGCGAGGTGCAGACGGGGAAGACTGACGTCGTCGGAGGTACTCTCGGATCTCCTGCAGTCGCTCACTGCAGCGTGGGAATGGGTCGTTTGGGTGGAAGCCGTGCAGCCCTGTTTGCTGGTAGGAGCAACAGCGGTAAGTATGGTCCGCTTCCCCGCAGTGGTAGCACAACGGGCGTCAATCGGCCGTCCTCCATACGTTGGTCTTTCTCGGCGCAGCTTGTTTAGGGCGGACGTGCGCCTGATCTTCCTGGCATTGGGAATACTGCGGCACTGAAGGTCACGTCGGGGAGACACCATGCAAGGACGTGGTGCTGGTGATGGCTGTTGGACCATTGCGGCATAGCTTAGAGCGAGCACCTCCGGTGCTGGTATGGTGACAAGAACCTTCTCTCGGACAACCTTGGCGGGAGAGGGAGGATGTGCGATCAGCAGTGGGTAGCATCTTGCTAAGCTCTTCCCGGACAATGTCGCGGACTGTCTCTTGGAAGGCTGTCGTCACCAGAGGTGTTCAGGTACAGTCGGGAGAGGAGACAGTTGAAGGAGCAGGCACGCCGGCAGTGCATGCTCGATGTTGGTGACTTCACTCACAAAAGCGTCGACTATCGTTGGTTAATGGCAAACCAGGCCTCCGAAAATTTCACCTTTCGCGCCGGGCATGAGGATGCAAAGTTTCTTCTCCTCGGCGGCCTCCGGATCGGATCGAGCACTTAGGCACAGGACGTCTTCAACAAAGCTGGTCATGCTTTCGCTGGGGCCGTTCACCTCTGTTTGAAGAAGATCTGCTCACTGGCGACGGAGGTGGTTAAGGAACATCCACTTCAGTTCGGCGGGGCAGGACTCCCATCTAGTGAAGGAGGCTTCGTGGTTTTCAAACCAGTGCATCGCAGTGCCTTCAAGCGAGAAGTAGAGGTTGTGGAGGCACTGCTCAGTCATCCATCCATTGTGGTGGGCTACACGTTCATAGTGTTGCTGCCAATCCTTGATGTCCTCGTGAACCTCCCAGTGGAAAGGGGTCAGAGTCCGGGGTGCAACGGGCAGGTATACGATGGCGGCGGCAGCCGAGGTTTACGGTGACCGGTTGTCCACTGTCGGCCTTGTTGGCTGCTTGGTCTTGAGTGGCAAAAGTCCGAAGTCCGGGCGTAGGCCTTGGGAGCTGCGACCTAATCGGGTTTCGTTAGTGTCTTTGTTGGGTCTTCATGGGCTTGGGGTTGGACTTCCACAGCAAGCACTCAGAGGGGTATGCTGCACGGACATGCATTACCCAGCAGCTCCACCAAAATGTCGCAAATAACAAATAATGAGGCGGCGAATAACTGGAGACACTAAACGTTTTAATGGGGGCGAACTTGTGCCCAAAACAAAATAGAAGAAGGTTAGCGTAACAGGCGTCAATGTCAGCGAAACAGCAAGATCAAATGCTGGGGCAAGACTGACTACAGCTTGCCATGCAGAGCCCCTTTTCTACAAGCGAGTGGTTCTGGAACAATCAGCATAGAAATGTTCAGCGTGTAGAACATTCTAACCTCGAATAAGCAACAGGGTTCTTTTAATTTACCAAAACGTGACATTTACAGAAATAACAAACAGGTATCTCCGCTTTTTGAGTCGAAAATATTCTCTGCTATTTGACGCTGGCTCTCGGTGCCATATGCTCGTCTGTTGGCGGCAGTTGGCGTCGCGACCGCTTGCGCCATCTCCTCTCTTGTGCCAAACGGCATTGTATTGTTTGAAGACTGGTGGCTTCGCTGCCTTTTTCTTTTTTTTACTTTTTCCTGAGGTAAGCTTGCTCTTTGCAAATTTTATGGAAAAAAATGCACCACCTGTGGGCAATGCTGCACAAAATTGTAGCGCAACAGGTGACGAAACCGATTTCTGCTGACGATTTAAAGAGCCTGGCCACTATTTGACACACCCTGTACATTGGTTGCTGAATGTCTTACTGTTGTTTACCATTGTTTCTCTACTTACGTAACCCTCGGGCACCGAGAGGAACTAAATAATTAAACAAATTTAGATACAGTCGAATCTCGTTAATTTTAACTCGAGGGGGGCCGAAAATTTGTTTGAATAAAGCAGAGTTTGAATTATCGAGAGTTCCCTCCCATAGAAGTGCATAGGATGGGACCTGCATGTTAGTTCGAATTATCTGAAGTTTGAATTAATGAGAGTCGACGGTGTCGGGGCGCTCTGGCAATGCCATTGTGCTCTCGCGGACTGTTGAAACAATTCTGGAAGGAGAAAAAGTGCTTCCTGCAATTTTCGGTAAATCTTTAAATAAGTGGCAACGGCGCTTTCAACGGGCGTACCCTCAGTACAAAGCATAAAGCACCAGCGTAGAAAGAGAGAAAAAATACCGCTCCTCATAGTCATGACCATGACACCCCCGTAGAGGCTTCCGCAGTTTGGTCCCCGAGATTTATGTTTTGGTTGGACATCCTTCTTTAATTACAGTTATCTGTCAAATATTCACGTCCAGTTAAAAGATTGCGCGGTACATTTGCTTCGATGCATGCATTAGTAGGCCGCTCTGATATGCACTTGGAAGCAATATGCCACATCACCCGACTTCTGATTCGCAAGGCCGACACTTAGCTTTGGATATGTTCCAAAGCCAAGTGTCGACACTTGGTTTTTCATATGATCCGTCGTGCGATACTGAGTGAGGACTTTATGAAGAGTTTCACTCTTGCTTTAGCAAACATAGTAGTAAACTTGTATCTTCAGGCACATAATCCTCAGCCTGGGGGAGGAAGAACCTTTAAGTGAAAAGGCTAAAAAATTCGGGGCATTTTTCAGAGTTTAAAGGTTCAAGAGGAAAACAATTAGAAACAAACTTTTTTGATAGAGATAACTGAAAAGATACAAACAAGGTAGTGGACTTGATTCTGAAAGCCTGGGGCCTAGAGAAGCATAAAGAAACACCTTAAGTGTGAAACTATTTTTTCACGATTATGATCAGAAAGAGAGGCACTGCAGCGTTAGAATTGAATGATCTTTGTGGCGGCTATGAGACCGTCAACCAGCATGCGCTTTCACCAAAGCTGAATATGTGGCCAAAGCACTTCCCAGAACTGCAAGCTCATTGGTAAAGATAGATAACTAGGCAAGTTGGTAAGAGTTGTTAAGTCTGTAGAAATCCTGCTTATTAGTTAAGGTGATTTTTGTTAGGAAAGTTTATCTTTCCAAAGTTGCGTCGGCATTTTTTTTTTTTTTTTTTTTAGCTTTCCATGTTTGTGTCGGCGGGGCCAGAGTGGCCGCAATGCGGGAGTGGTTTCCCCGCGGCCGTTAAGAAGCGTCTCGGGTTTTGGGAGTCCGCTCGAACCGGGACCGGGAGAGCCCGCGTTTGGAGAAGCGTGTAGCTTTTAGCCGAATGTGCCTGTATATAGAGGGTTTTGCCGCCTATTGTTAAATTCCGCTTTTTGCCCGATGCAATAACTTAGCGGTTGGCGCCAGTCAGACTGGGAAAATTGCAGAGAACAACTCTACAAGGAATTTAGGTTTGGCGGTTGGTGTGCCAGGCTGACAGCTCGCCGACCATTGGAGAACAGTGTACCACGTGGGAGTGGTGAAATTTGAAGGGATTAGTTGGACCCTGAGGGGAAAGGAGGCCCCTGTGAGTCTACAAAAGGATCCCCAAGAGGATTGTGGAGGATTGGCTTTGATTCGATTTTGGGAGACTGGGAACAAAAGTAGGAGGTTTAATTTTGGGATTTCAACTCGCTGTTGAGTTGTTTTGTTTCATAATAAATGTGGCCACACTGGCCACTGTAAAGCCAACCAACGTCACAATGTGTTCAGCGGGATCGAACAACTTTTAGTATTTTTTTTTTTTATTATTAACTCCCCGGGGGCTGTCATCGGGCGAGCACCATCATCGGTCGTCACCATCCGGACCAGGACGCGCCCACCCCCCTACCATCCAGGTCCAGGCCCTAAAGGAAAGTTGACTGAGTTCATGTTGAAAAACAGCACGACTGGGACGAGGACAAGAGACGAAGAGAACACAAGACAAGCCCTGGCTTGTCTTGTGTTCTCTTCGTCTTTTGTCCTTGTCCCAGTCGTGCTGTTTTTCAACATGCAAGCTCATGCCACCTGAGCTTTCTTTTCTTCCACAATTGAACAGCATCGTCACGGTAGCTTCAACCTACATGTCGTCATTAGGACGCACTGTCACTGCTCGATTCCAATGCTGCAAGTGGCTTTTGGAAACATAAACTGTACACCCATGTGTAGACACAATTCACTCGAGCCTCCCCTAACAAGTATTGTATCAAGAAAGACAAGAATGTCAAGAACAGTTTTTTGCTTACCACTCACCAGGAGTTGATCGTGACAACCAAGCCCCCTGGTGCATAACACATTCTGGCAAACTTGTCGTACAGAACGTTGTTTCTCACCGAAATGCTCCGAACAGAACTTCAGGGCCTCAAGGGGCATCGAGAGCCGCTTACCTCCACCTTGCTCAAGTTTTGGGGCCACTTTTCCTAAAGGCATTGTATGTGGTACCCGTTACGGATCTTGGCAGCATTGGGGGATACCAGAAAACTACCGTATTTATTCGAATATAAGGCGAGGTTTTTTCCAAAATCCGTAGTCTCAAAGTCGTACCCCGCCTTATATTGGAAGCTCAGTATAGCAATATGACGATTTTTTTTCTTTTTCTTGGGTTTTTCAACTGCCCCCTCGCCTTATAATTGTGACCGCCTTATATTCGAATAAATACGGTATACACACGCAAGCAACTCTCATGAAGTCGATAAAGTCAACCACCATTCCTGCCAAGCCTGTACTGTATTGCACCTAAGCCACAGAAGAGGTGCTCAGCAAAGGCGCTAGATGCATCAGAAGCAGTCAAGGTCACCCCACCTTTAGTCCTGCTGTGCTGGGAGGCCTCCCGGATGGCCCCGTGCAACTGGCGCGTGTGGGCGTACACCGCCCGGAGGAAATCAAACTTGAAGGCCGGCAGGAAGCGCAGGTTCCCGCGCTGGTCGCCCGACGTCGCCTTGGCCAGGGCCAGGAAGGAGGCGTGCAGCTCCACCCGGCTGTCCGAGCTCCCCGAGGACGAGGAGGACTGGCACTCCAGCAGCACACGCACCTGCACACATGCAAAGGGGGAGAAGGCAGGAACCTGGCAAATCATAAACGTCCTCGTCGGTGGTCCCAAAAAAAAAAGAAAGCGGTACAAGAACAAAACAACTGTTCAAGTTGCTCAAGCGCTTGTCGACTCTTATACGCTCGTGTCTTCCTGCGGCGCAAGCTGAAAAGAACTAGGCACAAAGCTTACAGGTGATGTTTTACCGTTTTTTTGCGCGTACATATTAAGGCATCGCCGGCGGAGTGGGTCCGTCGGGACCGCCCACTGGGACCACCGTTGTCTGCGTCTACGCCCCGCCATTTTAAAATGGCTGGAATGCACCAGACATTTTCCTCTAGGTTATTGTATTAACTCTAGGGAAAGCCAAGCAACTCGGCTGTAGCAATACAATCCGAGGTTTCGAGTTGAAGACTGCAGGGATTAAGTTACTCACAGGGCAAAGCCCACAAAGGCACGATGCGTAACAAGAACGATCCCACTGCGCAAAGGCGTTGCCAAAGAGTGGTTACCGCACCGGGTTCATTCGCCAACTGCTATTAACACTGCTACACCAGACAATGAACCAGATCCAAATTGTCATATCCGATAATTCCCTATTCCTACGTGCTATTTTTGTTGGCGCAGATAGTGAGCAAAAAAATACGAGCAGTCGTATTTTTTTGCTCACTATCATATTTGTTGGCGCAGTTGAGACAGGATGATAGCCGCGACACGTCGGGGTCGTTGGCCGTCTGCATTACGATTGCACATCGTGGGGACGGCCAAGTCTCCTTTTTGCAGACATGTGTGCCCCGACATAGAAGCTCTGTTTGATGGTTTTACACTGGCATCTAAAGGAACTAAATCGGTGCGGGTTATTGGGCACCAAACAGCGGTTCTGAGTATTGTAACACTCTGCACACCGTACTGTTTGATATTCAGGGCCTTTACCCAAAAGCAGACTTTGCTATCTTCGGTGAGTAATTTTCCAAACATTGACTGGGTTCATTTTACCACAAGCAGGTTGAATGATACGAGAGTTTCTCGGTAACTGTTTGAATTTTAACCTCACCCAAGTCGTCGAACAACCCACCCGTGGTGACAATATTCTTGACCTTGTCCTTACAAGAACTCCAGAAATAATGAAAACTGTTAACTGTGTTGCTGGCTTAAGTGACGACGGCATTTTGATCGTAGAGTTACGGTATCTACCTGTGTGCCGAAGCGGAGACCAACTGTTAAAACAATTCGTAAGTACAACAAAGGTGATTATGTCGCAATAAATCGGAACCTGTGATCGTTCTATCAGTGGTATGTTGAAAACTTTTGTTCAAGATCGGTGGAAGAAAAGTGGTTACTATTCAGAAGGGCAGCATTGTCCTGTCATGTTTGTTCTTCTTTGTCGTCTATTTTCTGAGCTGTTTTCCCCATCATCTGTAACGTCAACCAACTGGCCTAGTTCACCACTGTATTAAACTTAATGATCTCAAAGTTATTGTACACAGCGACGGGCGTAACCCCTGGTACAATAAAACATTTCAGCCATTAAATAACAAAATGAAGCGCAGATATAAAATAGCAAATAGAGTAAACAATAATGTTGTCTGAGACAAATATTTCTCATGTCTCAAATCTTATACAAAGAGCATAGAGTTGTCGAAAGAAAAGTTATTTTCTTTGGACCTGCCAAGAATTGTGCAAAGTAACCCCCAGAAGTTCTAAAAGATACTTTCACCCAGAGATAATACTGGCACTATCCGACTTAAGAATGAAAATGGAAACGCCGTGTCCGAGCCAGATTGCGCTACGGCTTTAGACAACTATTTCTCTTCCGTACCCTCAAACGAAAACGTTGATCAGTACCTAGTTTGCCTCGCTCTGGTTTTTAGCCCCTGGCCCCCATTGACACTAGCATTTTTGCTGCCGGAATACTTTGAATTATAGAAGGTTTAAAGCTCTCATCATCTTGTGGTCCAGACAATAATAGCCCCAAAATTCTTAGCAATATCAAAGTATTATCTAGTGAGTTCCTCAAATAATATTTTTTCACTCGTTACAGCAGGGATGCCTACCACTCGACTGGAAGCTGGGGAAGGTCATTCTGCAGCCTTTAAAAGCGGTGATCGTGCACTGGCCTCACACTACTGTCCCATATCATTAACCTGCCTCACGTACAAACTTCACGAGTACATATTATTTTCTCACATAACATATCTGGAAGACAATAATTTTTTTTTTTTTTTTTTACAATCATCAATACGGATTTTGTAGGGGTTTTTCATGCGAGACGCAACTTTTAGAATTCAAACACGAGTTAATCACTAACCCTGATTTGCATGGCCAAACCAATGCTGTATTTCTTGAAGGCATTCAACAGAGTTCCCCATTGTCATCTTATTTGTCTTATCTACCTAGATCATTCATCCTCATCATCATTTCTTTGGTATTGGTAACCTAGATTAGCTTCTGATATTGTTGGAACAAGGAGTATTTTTGTAGCTTTCTAATGACATATGCCTGTCACTCTGTGTTCTTATGAAATTTTGTTAACGAGTACAAACTAGCTTAGCGGCTATGGGTTCATATGCTTTTTTCAATACTTTTTATATGTTTTTCAGCCAATAAAAGTTTAACTGAATTGAATTTCAAAACTTTCTAACCTGGGTATCGACCCTCTGGTCCTTTCTTGGATATGTGACTTCCTTTCTCGCACTCAGTACTAGGTCCATTACTGTTTCTTATTTTTATTAACAACTTACCTGATTCAATCAACCGTAGTATTCGTCTCTTCGCTGACGATTGTGTCCTATATCACAAAATTACTTTGTCTAATGACCATTGCATCTTCAGAAGGACCTTGAACTAATTCATGCCTGGTCCTCCAAATGGCTCATGTCATTAACATCAACGTTATTAGAACCAACTCAGTTCTGGAACTCCACTCTGGAGGGGGGTTCCTTTGCGTGGCACCTGTTAGAGGGCGCGCGCTCCGCATTAATACTCGCTATCATCATCATTGACGGCGCGCTTGTGGCCGTTGCATCTGGCCTACTGAGCTTACGGATGTTCGTGGCACTTTTTCTGACAGTAGCAGACGTCAAAAATGCCACCCAAAAAGCTCCAGGTTGGCAGAGAATCAGGCGTGCTGAACTTAGCTCGTCCATCAAATCAGCGTGCCCAAGATAATAACGGCGACAGAACGAAAGCAATGACCCCAACGGAATCGAAGCATTCGGATACTTACGCTCGTATTGGTGTGCTGCGATCACGGCCAGCAATGGAATTGCCTTGGTAAGACGGCACATCTACTATTACAGTATGTACACACTAGCCCCGATTGTAGCCACCGGATTGTGGCGCTGACAAATTTAGGTTGTTTGAAACGCTTCGCGCTGTCAGTACAGCTAAGGCGGCGGCATTTTGTAATAGTATAAAGCGTATGCCATCATGGTCCCACCGCTTATGATGCTCAAGTTGTATTTTTACTGGCGAAAGGGCGAAAACCAACCGTAAACCCTGCTGGTCGCCGAGGAGTCGGGTTGGGACTTGCAAACAGTTGCAGCGGTTGGCAGCCACGGAGCAGTAGCAGACCAAAATTCGCGGATTAATGCGCTGGCAGCGCCACCTCGCCGCAAAAGAATCGGACACGGTTTCGGACTGCCTCCAATGTACGGCGTCTATGGGAAGTTCCACAACTGAGTTAATATAGTAACGGTGATTAACATGTCAAAATGTAAAGTAGTTCACTTCCCTCAGAAAGATGTAACATCCGATTTTTCGTATTCTATACGCCTCTGGACTACAATGGCACTGCCTCCATATATTAACATCTTGGTGTAACACTGACTAGCGACTTAAGGGGGGACACTACCCAGAAAAACAACAATCTGCAAAAAACACTGATTTTGAAAAATTACATATTTACATCCACCAACATCCAGAGAGTATTCCCAGAAATTTTCACAAGTTTACACTGTATAGTTAATTTTTTTATAAATTATTTTCTGTCCACCAAAGCTAAAGAAAAGGTAGGGTTTGGAGCACTTTGAACACATTTTTCTTCATTCCACTTTTTGGCATAAATTCCATTTTAGTCAACCTATCGTTTGATAATGGCAATACAGAAAAGGCTCGTTCTTCACTTTTCCTGACTGAAATTTAATAAGGAATGCGCCTATGGAGTTTATTTGTCACTCTACGAATGTCTTTTATAAAAAATGTTGACATTTTGTTAAAGACACAGAAGACCAAAAAGTTGACCAATTTTGCAGAAGAAAAAATTGGTAAAAATAAAAGACTTTTTACAAAAAGCTTTCTATAGTTGCACCTCCTACGCATTCTACTACATATCTAGCGAATAAAAATCTTGAATATTGGGATAGTTTTCCGACGATAGATTAACTAAACAATGTGGGCGTGTTGCTGATAGAAGCTGCCCCAATTTTCTTCCCACTTGACCGACAGACCTGAAATTTTGTTATACACCCTCTAGCTTGACCACCAGCCTACCCCGTAAGTTTAATTAATTTTAAGCCGAGGGTTCAAAAGTTGGTCCTCCCAGGGAGTGTGTCCCCTTAAAGGGGCCCTGCAATCATATTTAAGCATCTACCTTTTTTGTGGTTTCCACGTCTCTTCGGGTTCGGACAAGCTAGCGGGCACGGAGAGAGTAATTAAATATCAGTGCATCATATTTTAACCGGATGACGCAAAAACCTCCTCCATCGACGAGGGCGACCCTCAGTACCAAAAGCGCGCAAAATGTGACGTCTTTGGTTTTGGGCTTACTACTGGTCAGAGCCGCTAAAAGCATCTCTTTAGTCGAAATACAAAATATAAGTGTCGCGAACCGTTTCAATTATTTATAATAGTAGTTTTTGTTTAGTGTTTCAGATCAGAAAAGGAATGAATGCAGTTCATCAAGTACGGAAACAAGAAATGACCCGTTGACATACCCGCCACCAAGCGGTGGAAAGGCAGTGCATACTAGAAAGGAATAGTGGGATCAGGCGCCGACACGGAAA